TGGCGTTGGCGGGTATCCTAATCTTCCTTGGCTTGTCATTCCATACAGCCGTCAACCGCGGCTCATGCGGGCGACGCAGCAGTTCGACGCTCTTCATAAAATAGTGAGGTCCTGCATGGAGCGGTTCTTTGGGGTGTTCAAGATGCGCTTCCAAATGTTCTATCGTCCATATATTACAGACATAAGGAGGGAGAGGTTGGAGTTTTGCGCCTGTTGTATCCTCCATAACTTGCTTCAAGATTGGGGTGATATGCCCGAAGTGGAAGGCGAAGTGAGCGATGCTTCGTCTGGTGGGACCTCTCCATATCCGAATGTTGACAGGCGTGTGGACGGTTGTCCGCTTGCGTCCATGTTCGGTCGGAACGCGGCCAGGCCGTGAGAGATGCAATGTGCACCGAGGTCCTCCGTTTGTGGGAAGTCCGACGAGGTGCTTGAAAGGGAATAGTGTCTCTGTGTTCTTGTCATTTTATTTTTTTTTGCTATATTTAGCTGTACAACGAGAATATTGTTTGTGGTGCATTACAGTACTTAGCTGGGCACGGAAGAATAGGTGGAGCGTTGGTCGGTGCCTTGCGTTGTGTCACGCTCCCGCGCACATTCACTTTCAGCTATGGCGGTCGACGATCAACGCAGGGACTTCCGGTTCGAACGACGTGCATTGATAGACTACATGGAAAACATGGAGAAGGAGGTGGAACAACTACACCGCTTTTTAGTGGAGAGGGGAGATAGCATCACCATGACATTGCGGAGCGGGAGGACGGTTTCTGAAACCGATATCTCCCTCGAGAACATCCATGCCCGGAGATGGGCGTTTTCTGTATTGAAAAGGCTGTGTAAGTCGCGCGACACTTTGCGGAAGTGGTGTGACGACCTCGTCATTAACAACATGCAGATACAACGACAAATAGATCAATGGAGGTGGAGGGCGGAGGATATGTGAGCGAGATTTGATGACAGTTCTCGTGCGTTGCGTGAGGCGATGCAAGAAAGAGACGATGTGATGGGAAGGTTAGAGGCCGCTGAAGCAGATCTCCAGGTCGCACGCAGCCAGGTAGAAACGACGTGGAGGTTCTGCGACGACGTATTGAACGGGGGGGGTGGATGGAAGGCATACGATAACGATCTCACTGCAACGTTCAAATCTAGGCCAGTCTCGGATAAGGGCAAAGAGAGGGAGGCTTCTACTTCGGAGCCCACGTGCTGTGCATCCTGCGATGAAAAACATGCAACTTTGGGGGAGAAGGATAAATAGATTACGATTCTACAAATGAAAAACGAGATGCTTCAGTACCCGCCTTCGTTTTAGGAAGAATGCGACCGGGATGTGTTGCATTTCAGTAAGATGACAGGTTTGGGTCATTTTCTGTCTAAGCGCGACTGATGGTGGAGGGAGAGATAGATAGATAGATACATAGATAGATACATAGATAGATACATAGATAGATAGATAGATAGATAGATAGATAGATAGATAGATAGATAGATAGATATATAGATATATAGATAGATAGATAGATAGAGAGAGAGAGAGAGAGAGAGAGAGAGAGAGAGAGAGAGATACA